AATTTTAAATAGTTAATTTAATATAATTTATAATAAAATATAATTTAATATAAAATACAAATTCCAATTAAAATTTGATTCTTACTTTTTATTATTGTTGTAGCTGCCAAACACACCTCATCGAGCAGTTCACTGGAAGTAGATGTCCGTGAAGAGTATGCCAATGCGTTTAGAACCCAATCTTACATCGACTTTTGGACTCGAGTCCTTGACCTGACCCATGGTGGTTCGACCATTAACCAAACTGTGAGATCGATGGCTGCAGCTCGACTTCCATCCTATAGGCTCTTTGCCGAGAACCTCCTCGATCCCGACCAACCCACCGTCATCCGAGTCCTCGCCTTGGCTAAACATCATGCCGAAAACCACTCCCTCTTGTCCGATTATTTCTCGGAAACCGCCAACGCTTCTATTGTTTGTGGGTCGCTTTTAGAAGATATTGACCAATTGAGATCCAAGTATCGATCTCTTCAAACCACCTTGAAATCGATGGAAGCTACAAAAGTCTCATTCGTAAGTCAAGGCCCGCCGTTAGCCGCCCGGCTAGCAGACTTCTGTAACTCGCCTAACCCGTTCATGATGCCCACATCGTCTCCTCACGGGGTTCAAGCAGTGCAACTTGAGTGCTATAAGTTGCTTAAGCGTCTTGAATCGAGCCGTGACCGTGCTCAAGCGAAACTTAAACGGATCAACAATGTGAAATACGGCTCGGCCATCACTCTAGTGGTTCTGACCGTATCAATTACGGTGATCATCGTGACTCACGCTCTAGCGATTCTCGTGGCTGCTCCCGGGATCATAGTTGCAACAATGGAGTTGGGTTCGAGTCAGAAGCTGGCTAAGCTATCAACTCAGCTTGACGTGGCGGCTAAGGGAACGTATATACTGAATCGGGATTTGGACACAATTAGTCGACTAGTGGCTCGACTTAACGATGAGCTTGAGCATATGCAAACGACAACAAAGTTTTGGCTCAAAAGGGGACACAATCGGATTCAAAGCCTCGAAGAATTCGGTCGGCAATTGAAGAAGAGCGATTTGAGTTTCTGTGAACAACTTGACGAGTTAGAGGAGCATCTGTACTTGTGTTTCATGACCATCAATAGAGCAAGAAACCTTGTTATCAAGGAACTTGCGGGTTCCGGTTTTGTTCCATGAAAAGCCTCTCAACTCGTACTCGTACGTAGTACAACAAAATCGGGTTAATAAGACGTCTTAATTATAGACTGATTTAATTATAGAATTTAAGTTTATAACATCGAATGCTTATGCGTCAAATCTTACAAATAAGTTTATAAGATACTTTTGGACGTCTTTAACATGTTTTTAAGATAACAATTTGATATAAAGCATTGTATTGATTTTTTATAACACTATTTCAATAAATATCTTATAAAAACAACCGTCCTAATATAAGTTCTGTTCATAGAACACTTTTCAACAATGTCTCATATAAAACTAATAAGACATTTATCTAAATAATGTCCTAAAAACTTTTAAAAACGTCTAAAAACATTATATAAATTTATTATAACATTTTTATATATATATATAGAACATATAATTGGTTGTTCCTAAAAACATCAGTCTTATAGAAGAAAGGCGTCTGATTAAACAGTTCAAGGCTTGTTGGTAGTTGGTTTGTATGTATACAAGTTGAAAGACAATGTTTGATAGTTTTGTATTTTTTTTTAATATTTTCTTAAAAAAAATTTAATTTATTTTTCTTTCCTTTCTTTTCTTCACCAATTTGAAAAAAATGTTTTAGAAGGAAACTCAAGAGGGACTTTGGTTTGCATAATATTTTTTAGATGAAATGAAATCTATAAATGAATTTGATTTTGAAAAAAATTGGAATGAAATGTTATTGGGTTTGATCAAATGTTTGATTGACAGACATTGAAATGGAATCTGTTAAGAAATTGGAATCTGTCTGTTTGGTTCACTGAATGTGCCATTGAAATTGAAATGAGATATTGTTAATGACCAAAATGCCCTTTTTGAAAAATTTAATTTTTTTAAAACTAAAAGTACTTTAATTAAATAATTATTTAATGTGTAAAACAATATAAAATACACAACTCAAATATAACCATAAACCAAACGACGTTGCTAAATCGACATTAAAATTGTCTCAAAATAGCTAATTCTTTATCATCTAAAATAGCTATTTCGGTGGTGGTGGATCGTAGTTCAAATTGACAATGGTATGCGGTGGTTCAGATCGACGATGGTCGATGGTCGTTCAGATCGGTGGTGCTCGGTGGTCGACGATGGTTCAGATGGCGGTGGTCGGCTGTGAATCAGATCAATGGTGGTCGACAGTGGTTTAGATGGTAGTGATTGACGTTGGTTCAGGTCGGTGGTGGTTCAGATGGTTGCGGTCATCGTGGTTCAGATGGCGGTGGTTTGTCGTGGTTAAGATGACGGTGGTAGACGGTGGTTCAGATTAGTGGTGGTTCAAATGGCGGTGGTCGGCGGTTGTTCTAATCGGTGGTGGTCCACGATCGTTCAGATGGCTGTTGTTCAGATCGATGATGGTCCACGATCGTTCAGATGGCTGTTGTTCAGATCGGTGGTGGTCCGTGGTCGTTCATATGGCGGTGGTAAGCGGTTGTTCAGATCGGTGGTGGTCCGCGGTCGTTCAGATGGCAGTGGTCGGCGGTGGTTCAGATCGGGGTGGTCCGCGGTCGTTCAGATGGTGGTGGTCGGCGATAGTTCAGATCGGTGGTGGTCCGCGGTCGTTCAGATGGCGGTGGTCGGCAGTGGTTTAGATCTATGGTGGCTGGTGGTGATTCAGATCGACAGTAGTCAGATGTGGTTTAGATCGGTGGTGGTTTGTGGAGGTTTAGAAGGCGGTGGTCGGTAGTGGTTATGATCGGTGGTGGTCCGTGGTGGTTCAAATGGTAGTGGTCGGAGGGGGTTTAGATCGGCGGTGGCCGAAAGTGATTCAGATCGGCGATAGTCGTCGGTGATTCAAATTGGTGGTGGTTTGTAGTGGTTCAGATGGCGGTGGTCGACAGTGGTTCAAATCCGTGGTGGTCCACAATGGTTCAGATGGCGGTGGTTTTAGATCGGCGGTGGTTCAGATCAGTGGTGATTTAGATCGACGGTACCCGACAATGCTTCAGATCGGTGGTAGTCGCCGGTGGTTGGCAGTGGTTCAGATCTGTGATGGTCCGCGGTGGTTCAGATCAACGGTGGTCGGAGATGGTCTGCGGTGGTTCAGATAAACGATGATCGGAAGTGGTCGACGATGGTCATATTAGGTTTTATGATATTAGGGTATATTGGGTTAAGTGCATATTTAATATTATAAAAATAGAGAATTCCATTCCATCAAAATACCATGTAGCTGCTAAAAAATGTTAAATTTCTTTATTTGTGGAATTTGTAAGATTTTGAAGATTCATTTCATGATAATGAATGAACCAAACGAGAGAATAAAATTTGGTCAATAAAATTCAATATTCCAATTATATCAAATTCCTTCAAAATTTGCAAACCAAACGTACCTAGATTATTTTCTTTTCCTTTTATTTCACTTTTAAAAAAAATTTAAGGATACAATATTTTTTTTTTTACTTTCATTCCCTTTCCCTCAATATCTTTTTTAAGTTTTTGAGAACACAAAGCAAGTAACATGTAGACAAAAATAAAGGCTTATACGGTACATTTGTAATTAATAAATTATGGGTTTCCTAAATCTAATAAAATATAAATTAAGCGGTCACTACTATGAATCTAATAGACGATTAGGGACCGTGTATTAAACACTTACTTAGTAAATGCTTACTAGATAAATTTTTCTTATCGGATGAATATGAGAAAGGCCAAAAATCTTACCGGGTAAGAGCAATGAAAAAGATAGAGTCTTATCCGGTAAATAAGGATGAATACTCTTACTCAGGTAAACACTTACCCAATAACTTGTTGCATTCGATATGTTTTGATGTACTAAAATCTTACATATCAAAATAAATTATAATGTTGAATCTTATCGGTAAGCATTTACCGGGTATGTATTTGAATAAACAGTCCCTTAATATCACATAAATAAAAATAAACAGTATAAGAATATCTCTAATGATAAAACCATCAACGACTTTTCACCATTTGCGCAAGTTATTTTTGCGTCGGAGAGATGTGGTTTTGAATAGCTTTTTATAGGGATGGACAAAGAAACTACCCTAAACCAACCCAATCTAACTCAGTTTTATCTGAAGCTTAATTGGTTTATAAAATATATAAATCTTTTAGAGTTCTATATTTAGTAAATTTAAACAAATTTTTCTCTATATATGTTGGAGTTTCATTCTCTCCTAAAGGCTCTTTTGAAAAGTAAACTCGAAGTTCCACATATTCTCACAAAACCCAAAGAGAATAGGGTCGGTTATGGGTTAGACCCATGTCAAAACGAATCAACCTGCCAAACAAAATTATAACTATAAAGGTTAATATTATCAATTTATAAATGTCTATTGACAGGTTAGGATCCTTCGTGTTCACCCAGAGGGCACAAGGTCTCCATAGTGGCGGTGCAAGTGCACGCCGACACTATGATCGCTTACAAGTAATAAAGTGGTAAAATACTGAGATCGTTCCATAGGGACTGTACTACTGAGATTCAGAGACTTTCATGAACTTCTTGCTCGAGTTTCGGGTTATGAATAAAAGTTGGATTTTTGTTTATAAAAAGACTGAAAAGGACTGAAATAGCGAAATAAACTGTTTAGACTAAAGAATGGGCATGTAAGTGTTCCTTAAAATAAAATCAACAATAAAATGGTTAGAATCTTATGAGTTGTTTATAAAAATTCCAATCTCTCGAAAGTGAAAAATTACAAACGGGCCTCATAAAATTCCACAAGGTTCTTACATTTACCACTTCGAAACTTGCCAATTTAGCCAAAAAGTAAAAGAAATAAAATTCATACCCAAATCTCTTTGTGATAAGAATAACCATCGCTTAACCATTAGCTAAATACATACAAAATTCACGTCTCCACGTAATTATCAAAGACTCTCTCGAGTTCTTTGTGAATCACTTAAGCCGTATTTCGGATCCTCCCATCTCTGGGTCTAAGATCTAATATTAACATTTCAAAGTGATCGGCTTATGCGCGTCGAGTTTAAGTCCCGTCTTAAGTGACCAAGTTACAAAGTGGTAAAGAATAAAAATACCCAAATATTGTATAAAAATCCTAAGTTAAACTCACACCCACACCCACACCCATACAAGTAATTTAGCTAATAATAGACATAATAAACATAATATAAGACATTAAATAAAACTGAAATATAACTTGCATTAATATAAAACTAAATTACAAATTTAATACAAGGAAATAGAATGCTAAATTACAACTAAAAAAGAGAAGATCATTAACTACAATAATTAAAACTGGACCAGCATCATCCTAAATTGAAACGTGGCGTTGGCTGCTACGCTATAAGGAAATAAGTTGCGCCTTCTCCACCAGCAATTGCTTTTGGCGTAGTGGTAAGCGCTTGGATCCTAACATGTGTTATCAGAGTGGTTACGAGTTCGAATCCCATGGTGTGCATAATGATGCGAAAGGCATGCTGTGTAGCCATTGACTTCAAGCGAAGATCTTGTTAGTGCTGGCAGATGCTGGGGGGGGGATTGTTGGGTCATGGACCAGCATCTNGGGGGGGGGGGATTGTTGGGTCATGGACCAGCATCTTCTTAAATTGAAACGTGGCGCTGGCTGATACGCTATAAGGAAATAAGTTGCGCCTTCTCCACCAGCAATTGCTTTTGGCGTAGTGGTAAGCGCTTGGATCCTAACAATTAATAACAAAGAGAAATAAGAGATAAGAGAAGTAGGATGCTCTAGAGAATATGTAGGTTGTGTGTCTTCAAAATGAGCTTAAAATGGTACATCTCAACAGCTAATTACAGCTGGAGGAAATCTCTGGGAGGATTCTTCAAGCTGCACATCTTCCAAGAAGTAGAAAACAACAAAATTCGTGGACTTCCCACAGTGGGCAGTTTGGCAGAAAATGCAGGTTTTTTGGAATAAAATTTCTTCATTTGTGTTTCATCATCTTTTAAAAAAAAATTAGAATAAAAGGGGAAAAACAAGAAAATTGGGTATTTAATAATAACAAAAATGGAAGAAATAAATATGAAA